GCGTCAGGCGCGTCGGCCGCTGGGTCGGTCGAAGTGCGCGATGAGGCTGGACACGTCGGGTCGTCGAGCGTTGATGATGTCGATGATGTCGGGTCTGAGGGCCGCGCTCCCCACCAGGAAGCCGTCCAGGTCGTCCAGCTGAGCTAGCTCTCGACAGTTGCTGGACGAAACGGAACCTGCGTAGATGATTCTGGTGCTGTTGGCCACCTTGTCGCTCACGTTAGCACGCAGCCACTCTCGAATGTTGGTCAAGGCCTCCTTGCACCTGCGCAGCTGTGGCCAAGGACGCCGGTATTACTGGCCCACAGAGCCTCGAAGGCGATCACCACACTAGACCAGTCGCTGATGCTGGCGGCGAGGGACTTCATCTGGCCCAACAGGACATCCTCCGTGCGACCCTTCTCGCGATCCTCCGACGTCTCGCACAAACACGCGATTATCTGATGATGGACAGAAGGCAGTTAGATCATTCATGAACACTTTGAGAAATAAAACTCCAATGTCCGTCTCTCATCTTGAGCATACACTATGTATGTAATTTATCTTATGCGATTTCTTAACATAAGGTCCGTGTTAATAGCCAGAAAAGCCTGGATTGATGAAGACTTATATTAAGAGCTGCCGAATTTTCACGATGCCTTTGTTGTCAAGTTCAGTGGTCTGTGAATCATGTTTTGAGGATTCAAAAAATTCTAAGAAGTGAAAAGCAAAATGCAGTTTTCCTCTCTTGTATTTTCTTGTATTCTCTTGACAGAGAATGATGAGAGAGTGGGAGCGAATGAGAGAAAGGGAAAGAGAGACTCTCTATCAGAGAGAGAGAAAGAAAGATAGGAAGGGAAAGAGAAAGAGGGAGAGAGAGAGACAGAAAGGAAGAGAATTAAAAAGAAAATTGAGCACGGACACAAATACAGAAAATGCTAATCAACAAACAAACAGACGAACCGTTCCCAGCGAAGCACGAGCTCAACCCAGGATACCGGAAGCTCCAAGAACGTTTGTTTGTTTTTATGGCCAAGTATAAAACTCGCGTCGCCCAGGGAACGGCTGATAGTCCTCGCCTCAGTGGCCCGCGAGATCGTTTCCCGATGACTCTCCGCCGTGGAACCGAGATGTCGGCCAAGAGGAAGTTCCTGATTGCGGGCAGCTGGACGTCACAAGCGGACTCGAGCGCAGGTCAGAAGCGCAGATTATGCCTCTGTTTTAAAGATGTTTGCTGGATTTAAAAATCAAGATTAGGAGATAGTTACGAAGTATATTTATTGCTGAATGGCCAATCAATTAATGATGGCAAAGGCTTTTGGTGTCTCTTATAGCTCTATCTGTGAAAAGTTTCTTCCACAGAGAGCACGAGAGAGAGTTTCTCTTCGTTCCTGCCATATGCTCGCCAACATCTTCCTGTCGAGATCGGCACGACTGTTCCTGACGGTGATGAGGACGAGGAAGCCTTCTGCAGGAACTGCGACTGCCACTGGGAAGTGGTGGGCGGGTCTTCGTCCGGTAGCTCGGATTCTCAGCTGAAGGAAGCGATTGCCGAGGCTCAGCAGGCAGGCAGGAAGGTGAGATTAAGTCAGTTTGTCTAAAGTTCTACTATAACCATATTCCATTTGACAAACTTGCTAAATGCATTGGCACTACGAATAAATCGGTTCGTAGTATAGATGGTACCAAAAGACATGTAAGATATGTATTTCATCGTTGATATCATATTCCATTTGAGAGTTTTTAAAAAATGTATTCAATTGTTAAATTTATGTATACATGACCTAATTTCAATTATGCGTGCATAGATGATCGTCTGTTTGTGCGAGACGTCGGAGGATCGCGAGAAGGGTCGCACGGAGGATGTCCTGTTGGGCCAGATGAAGTCCCTCGCCGCCAGCATCAGCGACTGGTCTAGTGTGGTGATCGCCTTCGAGGCTCTGTGGGCCAGTAATACCGGCGTCCTGGCCACAGCTGCGCAGGTGCAGGAGGCCTTGGCCAACATTCGAGAGTGGCTGCGGACCAACGTGAGCGACAAGGTGGCCAACAGCACCAGAATCATCTACGCAGGTTCCGTTTCGTCCAACAACTGTCGAGAGCTAGCTCAGCTGGACGACCTGGACGGCTTCCTGGTGGGGAGCGCGGCCCTCAGACCCGACATCGTTCCCGCGATCACTTCGTCGCGAGTGTCTCGCTCGTCCCTCTGGGCAACGCACGAGGCCCTCAGCTCGACCGCCCAGCTCATCCAGCAGCTTCGTCAGCGAGAATGCGCGAGGAGACTGGCGGCGACCACGCGCAGTCCGAAACGATACATTTGAATGGTCTGCTCTCAGCGCTGCCGTGGGCAGACTCCACTGCAGGAGGATTACGTGTAAATAGGTCTATGTAAGTTCTTGCTATTTGTTAATGAAGTACTGGCATTGATTTAATGTGAATATGTTATTTTTAGTAATAGACAACTGCAACTAATATTTTAGAAATAAACATATTTTTAAACACCACTGCTGTTTGACTACTTAATCTCAATACTATATTGATTGATGTAAGTATAGGTATATGTTAAAATTTTAAACGCACACCAGAAATACCCCCCCCTCAAACAAAAAAAAAAGATGCATATTCTTTTTTTTTTTTCTTTCTTTTTTCTCTTATTTTTAACAACTTTTAAACAGCGAAGTTTTCTTTAGCTCTTGTTATCAGGAGCAACGGGTAGCTTGTGACAATCTCACGACAACGATTCATTTTATACGATTTTTCCACCGGAAGCAGATATGAGAGGGTCCCCCGCGCATGACGTCACTCCTCGCCTTTCCTCTCTTGGCGGAATCGCTTCGCCTCCGAAAGAAGAATTCCGGGGAATTAGGTCGTTTGCTCGTGGATAACCATAAGAATATGGGTCAGAAGAATATGGTATAATTAGGCCCCTTTACAGGCATTTCATTTCTGACATCACAAAGAGATGAGGAATTCAGAATAAGAAAACCAAACGTAAGTTTGACTTGGAATATTCCTTTTTCTCATACATCAGGCGTGCGGCGGCGTCTACTAGTGTGGGCGTGAGGCGTGTTTGGGACCGAGGATCAGGTCTTTTCACATGTCAGTTAGGAATCAGTATACATATATATGTATATATATGTACACACACACAGATATATATATTTATATACGTATACACATTCGTATCTCTCATCTTGAGCATACACTATGTATGTAATTTATCTTATGCGATTTCTTAACATAAGGTCCGTGTTAATAGCCAGAAAAGCCTGGATTGATGAAGACTTATATTAAGAGCTGCCGAATTTTCACGATGCCTTTGTTGTCAAGTTCAGTGGTCTGTGAATCATGTTTTGAGGATTCAAAAAATTCTAAGAAGTGAAAAGCAAAATGCAGTTTTCCTCTCTTGTATTTTATTGTATTCTCTTGACAGAGAATGATGAGAGAGTGGGAGCGAATGAGAGAAAGGGAAAGAGAGACTCTCTATCAGAGAGAGAGAAAGAAAGATAGGAAGGGAAAGAGAAAGAGGGAGAGAGAGAGACAGAAAGGAAGAGAATTAAAAAGAAAATTGAGCACGGACACAAATACAGAAAATGCTAATCAACAAACAAACAGACGAACCGTTCCCAGCGAAGCACGAGCTCAACCCAGGATACCGGAAGCTCCAAGAACGTTTGTTTGTTTTTATGGCCAAGTATAAAACTCGCGTCGCCCAGGGAACGGCTGATAGTCCTCGCCTCAGTGGCCCGCGAGATCGTTTCCCGATGACTCTCCGCCGTGGAACCGAGATGTCGGCCAAGAGGAAGTTCCTGATTGCGGGCAGCTGGACGTCACAAGCGGACTCGAGCGCAGGTCAGAAGCGCAGATTATGCCTCTGTTTTAAAGATGTTTGCTGGATTTAAAAATCAAGATTAGGAGATAGTTACGAAGTATATTTATTGCTGAATGGCCAATCAATTAATGATGGCAAAGGCTTTTGGTGTCTCTTATAGCTCTATCTGTGAAAAGTTTCTTCCACAGAGAGCACGAGAGAGAGTTTCTCTTCGTTCCTGCCATATGCTCGCCAACATCTTCCTGTCGAGATCGGCACGACTGTTCCTGACGGTGATGAGGACGAGGAAGCCTTCTGCAGGAACTGCGACTGCCACTGGGAAGTGGTGGGCGGGTCTTCGTCCGGTAGCTCGGATTCTCAGCTGAAGGAAGCGATTGCCGAGGCTCAGCAGGCAGGCAGGAAGGTGAGATTAAGTCAGTTTGTCTAAAGTTCTACTATAACCATATTCCATTTGACAAACTTGCTAAATGCATTGGCACTACGAATAAATCGGTTCGTAGTATAGATGGTACCAAAAGACATGTAAGATATGTATTTCATCGTTGATATCATATTCCATTTGAGAGTTTTTAAAAAATGTATTCAATTGTTAAATTTATGTATACATGACCTAATTTCAATTATGCGTGCATAGATGATCGTCTGTTTGTGCGAGACGTCGGAGGATCGCGAGAAGGGTCGCACGGAGGATGTCCTGTTGGGCCAGATGAAGTCCCTCGCCGCCAGCATCAGCGACTGGTCTAGTGTGGTGATCGCCTTCGAGGCTCTGTGGGCCAGTAATACCGGCGTCCTGGCCACAGCTGCGCAGGTGCAGGAGGCCTTGGCCAACATTCGAGAGTGGCTGCGGACCAACGTGAGCGACAAGGTGGCCAACAGCACCAGAATCATCTACGCAGGTTCCGTTTCGTCCAACAACTGTCGAGAGCTAGCTCAGCTGGACGACCTGGACGGCTTCCTGGTGGGGAGCGCGGCCCTCAGACCCGACATCGTTCCCGCGATCACTTCGTCGCGAGTGTCTCGCTCGTCCCTCTGGGCAACGCACGAGGCCCTCAGCTCGACCGCCCAGCTCATCCAGCAGCTTCGTCAGCGAGAATGCGCGAGGAGACTGGCGGCGACCACGCGCAGTCCGAAACGATACATTTGAATGGTCTGCTCTCAGCGCTGCCGTGGGCAGACTCCACTGCAGGAGGATTACGTGTAAATAGGTCTATGTAAGTTCTTGCTATTTGTTAATGAAGTACTGGCATTATTTATTGTGAAAGTATTTATTTTTAGTAATAGACACTGCAACTATATTTTAGAAATAAAAATATTTTTACAAGCCTGCTGTTTACTTAAATCTCAATACTATATTGATATGATGTAATAATATGTATATGTATAAAAGTTTAAACGCACCAGAAATACCCCCCCCTCAAAAGATCATTATTCTTTTTTTTCTTCATTTATATGACTGGCTACTCCTTTAATACCAGTGATAAATAAATATATATAGATATATGTGTATGCGTGTGGGTAGATAAATCAAATGTGTTTATATATTTACCTATTGATTAATAGGTTATTTAAAAGATAGATTGAAAAGTAGATAAGCAGATAGATAAATAGATATATATATATATGCATATATATGTATACATTGTGTGTCAGTAACTGCCATGACAGTTCAGCGATGAATAGTCGGTCATATAACCACTGCATTTTTATGACATTATTCGCCAATTCTGTCGCTCCGTCACCCACGGCCAGCCTGTCGGGGGTCGAACAGGAATGACGTCACGAGTTTAAAGATCACGACGCGCAGTCTGAAACGATACATTTGAAGGGATTTCAATGACGTTTTGGGCAGACTCCTGGAGAAGATTTAGGTGTAAATATGTCTTGCATTCATGACTCCTTGGTTTATTAATGCAGTGTCAATACTATTTATTATGAAAATATTTATTTTTGGACAACTAAAGCAATAAAGATGCTTACAAACCCACTGTTTTCGTACTGCAATACATATACAAAGATCATAAAAACCACAAGCATCACATGGATTAGATCACGTGAAACTAACGAAAAAAAGAAAGAAAAGAAAGAAAACAAGCCCATTGGGAATGTGGTTGAAATCCCCCCCCCCCACACCCAAAAAAAAAGAAAAAAAAACAAAAAAAACAGAAGTCCAAAGGGAGGAGAAGCAGTCGCAGGAAGAACGTAAGAGAGCATGTGAATGTGCGTTTGTGAATCGCATGTCTGCTCTGAAGGTCTGTAGAACTCCATGTATCATTATTCAGGGATTTTGTTTTTTGTCTTTGACCCTCCATTTATATGTATAGTTACCCAATACTTTGCAATGAGACACACATACATATAATGAGATCATACGCTTATTGCAATACGTGATCACCTCCGGTTCGAAGAAAGCTTTCGTGACGTCATTCATTAGTGTCACGTTTTTGACTGGAACTTGGCTGATTACGTGGTTAGTGATCACTCATATGGTACGTATATACATGCATATATATGTGTGTGTATGTATATATATAAATACATATGAATATAAAGAGAGAGAGAGAGAGAGACATAGATAGATATAGACAGATAGATGGATGGATGGATACAATCACACACACACACACACACACATATATACATACACATATATGTGTGTGTGTGTGTGTGTCTATACATATATAGACATAGATAAATAGATATATATAGATAGATGGATACACACATACATACGCGCACACAAGCACACACACAAATATATATATTATTAAAGTAAAGTTCATCAATTAATACATAATTAGTAAAAATGCTACTGTTGGCTACGGTAACTAGGCAGTTCCTGCAGTAGAGTTCGTCGCTCCCCCCCCCCCCCCCTCACCGTATTGCTCACTGCCTTGAGTTCCTGGGGGTCTTGCCTCGGTCACTCCTCCGCTGCCATAGGCCTGGGCAAGATCTCTTTGCCATTTTGCTGTTTTATTTGGTTGGTACTTTCTTTGTTAGGTTTAGAGCGATATATTACATTTTAGTAATATATCGCATAGGTAGGATTTTCTTGTTTGTGTGTCTTGTGTATTTTGTTTGTTTGGGTGAAAGTATAAATAAAAATAAGTTGTAATTCAATGACTTTACGTATTTTCCAAATATCTTTTGTCAATTAATAAATGCTAATTAATAATAGATGACTGATAATTTATAATGAAAGAAGACTTTATTACATTTACTATAAATACTATTACAATGAAATAATGAAAGTACTTTACTTTATAAATAATGATAAAAAATACATTGATACATGAAAAATGCATGAATGAATTAACGTAATAAGCTAACGACGTTAATGAGTATCGTAATAAAGAATGAAGAATGAATGACATTAATGAATGAACAAGAAGAAACTTGGCAAGGACAATTGTTACGTGGTATTAGCCATTCAAAATCAGGACGCATCATATTGATTTTTCGTCTATGATTCTGGCAAAAGCCTTAGGAGAA